TATTTTCTACACACCAACCTGAGTATCAGTTAAACTGGTACACAATTAAAAACATTTTATTTAGGCCTATCTATGGCCTTCAAAAAGTTGACGACTCTTCATGTTTCGACGTTACTCCTGAGGATGACGTTGTAACGTCGAAATATGTAGAGTCGTAAACTTTTTGAAGGCCATAGATAGGCCTAAATAAAATGTTTTTAATTGTGTACCAGTTTAACTGATACTCAGGTTGGTGTGTAGAAAATAAACGGCAACATTATTTACCCTTGATAAAAACTTTACATACAACACATGATGTTTAGAATAATGTGAAAATCAAACAAAAACAATATTTCGCGTCTCCCACAAGGTCTGTTATTAAACACTGTGAGCACGTTGGGGCGTCTAAGCCAATTAAAATACATTAGGCCTATTCTTTGATAGATTGTTCAGACAGAGTATTCATGATAAGTACACTGAAATGGACGGCAACTAACCTAAAGACAGAAGACTTTTAAAATGTCATCTTTTATAATTATGTTTTTTCTACAATAGGCAGTTGCCATCCATTCCAGTTTACTCGTACATTAGGCCTACTTTCTTGTACATGTTATCTCAAAAACACAGTACAATTAAAGAAAAGAAAGAACACTGCCGGGTAAGCGAAAAGTGATTAGCGAAATAAAAGCACTGCCGTAAGATTTACAGTCTGATGCATCCTTCTAGATTTGTACCTTAACCCTTAAACAACGGACTTACTTTAACCCTAAATAACCGAGCTTCACTCCCCTGTATTGAGTAATTCTTACGCGCAGTATAACGTACAAGGGAGACTCCAGCAATGATTAGTGGGATCAAATGTAATGTTCTCGCTATTTTTGTTAAAATTTTTTATACTTATAACTGTCAGAGACTCTGTAATAAACAAATTCATGGTCCCACAAGAAATTTGACGCATAAACAGTTTTAGAAAATGTGCTTAAAAAAGACGAATGGGTCCATAGATCCCATTGGTAGTTCTTAGGCTACTGATCACGTGGATTAATAGGTGCTCTGTCTGTGCAAGATTTAGTATACCAGCAGTTAAAGGCCCTTCGTTTTTAATTAAAACACACAAATTCTAGGCTTAAATTTCACCCAATCATGTCGAACAAAGTTCTGGAAAGTATGTCATTTTTTGTGGTGTTTGTTTTATACATACGATTGTTTTGGTTCATGACGTAAGAACACTAACCATTGTGTAAAAATTTTTTACAATCAATTCATATAGACATAAGCTTGTTAAATCACTGATAAATGCAAACAAAACTTACTTCACTAAATATATTTTCACATTTCATTCAAGCATACAAATATTTGCTATGATACAAACTCTATTAACATATATTTTTAACTAGTTCTGTATATTTTCATACCCGTAACAAACTAGTATTCCTTTCAGCATGATTTATTTAAATATTGAATTACTGAAGTCCAATACAGAAAACTGACTGGTGATGTACTCTAAGCCTAAGAATGAATGATCTATACCGGCTGATGATTTACTCTAAACCTAACAACGAGTGATCTATAACGGCAGATGATGTACTCTAAGCCTAACAACGAGTCATCTATAACGGCAGATGATGTACTCTAAGCCTAACAACGAGTCATCTATAACGGCAGATGATGTACTCTAAGCCTAACAACGAGTCATCTATAACGGCAGATGATGTACTCTAAGCCTAACAACGAGTGATCTATAACGGCAGATGATGTACTCTAAGCCTAACAACGAGTCATCTATAACGGCAGATGATGTACTCTAAGCCTAACAACGAGTCATCTATAACGGCAGATGATGTACTCTAAGCCTAACAACGAGTCATCTATAACGGCAGATGATGTACTCTAAGCCTAACAACGAGTCATCTATAACAGCAGATGATGTACTCTAAGCCTAACAACGAGTCATCTATAACGGCAGATGATGTACTCTAAGCCTAACAACGAGTGATCTATAACGGCAGATGATGTACTCTAAGCCTAACAACGAGTGATCTATAACGGCAGATGATGTACTCTAAGCCTAACAACAAGAGACCATTTTATAGTTCAACACATAAAATTCAACGGAGATGGCTATAAAATGCTTAGCTTCGTGTTTATTTAATATTGTTGAATGTAAAATCCTCGCGCGCCATCCGTAGTTTGTGTCCTCAACACTCTCTCTATTGTTGTTGTTGTTGTTTTTTCTAATAAAATTTAAATATCCTCTAAAATGTCCTGTTATTTATCCTGACAATGCGCATTTCTAGTGCTAGAAAGGGTAAATTCAACTAAAAATATTAATACTACACCATAACAAATTGGGTTATTTATCCGTTCCGAACAAATGTGATACACACTAAAGGTATTATTTGAATTTCATTTATGACATAGTTTTTTTTTTTTTTTACATACCTTGTACTTACAAAAACCAGTATTTTGAATGACTGAAATTACGTATGAAAATTCGTAACGACGACCCATACCTTTTCCCAGATGATCTCTAGAGACAGTTTCGAGTAAAAAAGATTTGCATTGTTTGGGGAGTTTTTCCCATCTCAATGTGTTTCTTACCTGTCCCTGTGACGTCATTTTCGCAATCCACGTCACTCGTTGCACAATCTACAACACGAATCTGCAGATGGCGTTCAGAATCCGAATTCTCCTTCGTACCTCTGGTCTCGTTTCCATGGTAACAAGACGAGTCGAATGAAGAAGTAAGCTGTGATAAGCGTGTGTGGCAGCAGGACCAGGTTTTCGTTACGCTTTGCCACTCGATCCTTTCGATACCTCGTTCAACTGTCACCAGGAGGCTCTGTAGTAGATGAGGTAAATCTTCATGAGGGTCTTTAGCTGACGATGTAGGAGAAGTTCGTATTAACGAATTATGAACCCAGTTCATGGTAAAAATATTTTCAAGTTCACTCTCATGTGCTACACGTTCTTTAACACCGTGATATGTCTTATAAACACATACAACTGCCAAAATAGTAGAATTCGATGTAGAAGCGAACGTCTGTCGAAGACAGAAATAAAAGTCTCCAGGCCTTAAAAGGGCACCGTCTAACTCTCCTAGCTGAATTAAGGCCCTCTGGTGGACACAGAGCGGTAAACTTTCCCAGCTTAATCCACCACAACTGCGACAAAATCCGTCCGTTTCCTAAAGGAGAACAAAAAACGATATTGAATAAAACTCGAAGTATGGAACACACTCCGCCTCAGAAACACAGCTTAGAACATTACGTTTCTAGTAGAACAGAAATCGGATATTCAAAACTATTGCCAGTTCATTTAAATTAAAGCTAAATACACTTTTAGCTCCAAAACGTCTGATGAATTAGATTTCATTAAGATGGTTATCTGCTTCTGAATTTCAACACAGAAAGCAAGTGTTAAATGATTTGAAAAAAACATACGAAATGTAAGTCATGAGGACTGTCAGCACAGAAAACAAGGGTTAAACAATTTGAAAAAAAAACACACGAAACGTAAGTCATGAGGACTGTCAACACAGAAAACAAGTGTTAAACGATTTGAAAAAGCACACGAAATGTAAGTCATGAGGACTGTCAACACAGAAAACAAGTGTTAAATGATTTGAAAAAAACACACGAAATGTAAGTCATGAGGACTGTCAGCACAGAAAACAAGCGTTAAACGATTTGAAAAAACACACGAAAT